GAACCTTGTACTGTCTATGTTTACAGCTAAGGGATGAAACGCAGGCAAATCATTTTCTACATGTTCATCTCTACATGATCTTTTAACATGTTACACAGTCTTGCACCATATTAGTAGCCCTACTATCTATTCTATCATAATTTATTGAAATTTGTAGGTTAAAATTGAGAAAATGTAGCAACGCTGATACTACTACAATCAAACTGGACAAATTTGAACAGCCCGCCTCCTGGGTTAAAATTTGTGGACTATAGCCGTTCCATATTTTTCATGGTTTGGACTGCCCGCTTCGGAGATTTCGGTTCCAACTACCAACGGCCGCAAACTATTTTGTCATTTTCAGCCCACTTTTTGTCCTACTCAGGCCGTTCCACATTTTTACATCTTTGGACCGTCCACTTTTAAACCTACGGCTGAGCCTTCTAACAGCCACATTTATCATTCAGTCAAAAGGCAAAAATTCGCTCTGAATAACAGCAGCAAGAAAGGTTAATTTCTACTACCTAAGCTCATTAAAAAATGAGAAAAAAAATGTAACAATGTTGATGCTACCACAATCAAAATGGACAAATTTCGGCAACACTTCGGCATCATAAATACAGTTCTAAGCATGCGTTTAAACTTACAGCCAAAATTTTACACCTTGGACCGACAGCAAAACGCATTGATTGTAGCGCTTCTGCTATTGATTCTATTTTCAGCTGCTGATAGGCAGCGACCAGTGAATGTTCGCAATATGCTGGAGCCAATGAAACAATGGTTTGCAATAACGTTGAAATACCTAAATAAATTAAATTTGTATAGTGGATTTAAAAAAAAAAATCGCACTGACACTTCACAGAACCACCTAACACAAAAATCAAAGACAGTTTATATTCAACTGTTGAATCCGGGCATGTTTTCAACATAGAAGCTTTACCGACTTTAAATCTCAGCTTTCACAGATCTTGCTCTCTTCTTCCCCTTACCTTTGTACCATCGCTAGCCGTGATTACATCCTGTTCCTAGTATATGAAGAAAAACAGGAAAAAAAATAAATAAAAAACGTTCCAGTAACGTTCCAGTACCAAACTTCCTACTTACAGGATGTATCCAGAACAGAGCAAAGGATATTCACCATAAAAAACCAAACCAGTACGTCGCTGAATAATTATGTACGAGTGAGTATGCTTTCTATTAGGAATAATTATGACAAAAACAAAATAGTTTAGGACAACATTACCTTCATCCTGATGCTCTTGCTTAATGGGCTCCTGTTCCGCGCTTTCGATCATGCCACAATCGCCGCCGTCAACAGTTTCTCTGAAAAAATGTAGAAAAATCTGGATTGCACAAAACATATATTGTCGAGACTTTGTGCAAGTGTGTGTGGTCCGAGTGTATTTTATCCGGGCTTTCAACTCGAGAATCAGAATAAATGGCAACGCGCACCAGACTAGCCGGTGCGATCATGCGTTTTGTGCAATTCAGCC